CGTCATTGTGGGCCATTGACGACAGAGCAACAAAGGTCTTTATGCTCAAATTCTACTCTCATCTCAGGAATGGAGAGAGTGCAAGTTTGAGTCTTCAGCAGGCAATGAAGGAGATGAGAGAAAAAGAAGAATACAAGGAACCAAAATACTGGGCGGCCTTCTTTCTAATTGGAGACGATGTAACCATCACAGTGTAATCGCACATCAAGGCTGGGTTGTTGGACGAACATTTTTGAACATTAATTAGTTTAGTTTTGTAGTTTTTACATGTACTTACCTTCAAAGCACTACATGGTCTTACTCCGTCTTACATTTCTGAACTGATCTCTGTATACAAACCTAAAAGAACGCTTCGGTCCTCTAAAGAACTACTCCTATCTGTTAAACCTTACTCCATGAAAACATATGGCTCTCGCTCTTTCTCTGTTGCAGCCCCTACTTTATGGAACTCTCTCCCATCTGATTTAAGAAACATTGACTCTTTGCTGTCCTTTAAGAAAGAACTCAAAACTTATTTGTTTAGTTTAGCTTTTAGAGTTTAATTTGTTTGTTAGTTATATCAGAGCGCATAGAACAGACTTGTATATGCGCTATACAAGTTTTCATTATCATTATTATTATTATTACCCTGACTGATAAAGTGCAAATACTAAAAGTGAAATACTAGCAGTGATCGCACTTAAACCGTGCAACTGTACAAATAGTGCTATTTAGTTTGTATTTAGTAAATCGAGCATGTGGTACGCAAATTAAATTGAACTGATACAAATGAAGAACTCAATACCATCTTGCTTCCAGTCCACAAATTAGATTAGTACTACATTGTACTTAGATTCAATTGTAAAGTTGCAACGGTTTATTTAAGTGCGATCTCTCTAGCATTTTGGAAAATGGTTATTATTTTTCAATGGTTAACGATTGTATATCATAAGTGACTCTCAAGTGATCATACAGCAGTCATGTAATGTATAGTCTTATCAATTGTCCGACAGTTTTCAATTTTGTGTAAAGTAACGTTAACATTTTTTTATCGCTTGTTGATAGATGGAAATTATTTTTTCCCTGATACTACTTGATAGTATGGACACTGTGGACAAACTCTAAATCAAGACAATTAATACCGGCAGTGAACAATAACCAAATGTTATAAATTCAAAAACATGTCGTTATAGCGGAAATCGTTGCATCGCGACCTCTTTGTTTTGAAGTTTGTTTGGATTTTGTTCTTTCTTTCAATCTGAGGGCCGGAGCTTTTCGAAAACTCGTTCAATCATTGGCTGATTAGTATCAAGCTCAGCCCCCAAGTCGCAGAAAAACCTAAATCGCAAGTATTTCCTTTGAGCATCCAAGTCGCGATGCAACGGTTTCTGCYGTAAACGTTTTAACTTTGCATATGCTTAGTTTCWGAGAAAATGCATATTCGAAATTGCTTGATGAAACGTGAACTGTTATATAACAAATGCGCAATTGTGGAACTTCAGTTAAACCTGGTTGACAGGCCTCTCTTTCTTGATTAATAATGTGCACACCTCTGAGTTCAAATGCTGAGCTGGTATATAAACTCTGAAAGTAGATTGTTAGTATTTTTAAAATAATTGGTATATAACAATCGATGTGATTGGCCAAAACGTGTGTTTTGATGAGAGTAATTAGCATTTTTAATAGGTAAAACAAGCAATTAAACTAATTTGATTATTTCTTGAAGCCGTACAAAATAGATATTTGTGTACTCACTTTATTTTCTGTTTGATTTTCAAACTTTACGTATAATTTTCATCATGATCAATTAAAACTGGTGTGGCAAATTCATGGTCGAGGATTTTAAGTTAAGAGCGATCCATTAGTCTTTTGAGGATTGATAAAAGATTTTCTATAATGGAACTTCATTTTCAAAAAATCACATAGACTATTTTAAAAAAGAAATAAAGTTAAGCTCAAAATTCATAATTTTATTCATTTATAATTGACTGCCAATTGTACCCAAATGACGAAATAATTAAACCATTAGTTTGTTGGTCCAGAAAACCCACGCACTGGTTTTCTTTATACTAAATCCTTTWAATTTKAGAAGAGCAACGTTTTTCCAACTATTCAACAAAGTTGGTGTATACTGAAGTCGGTAGAATATGTTTACTAGCACATAAACGTAACAAAAGGGGAAGCCTGTGGTGCTGGCTGGTTGGATGATGTGGAAT